CATTCAACCAGCTGCACAATTCCCTTCTGCACTGCTTGGCTTTAAAGCTCTAACCAGCTTGGAATCTGAATTCTCAAAGAAATATTCCCTCTACTCACTGCTTGCAACCAGGCAGGTTTATGTATTCCCTTTTCATTTTAGTCTAGAGTCAACTCTCTTTCCCCCTAAATATCACCAACTGTACCAGGAGAGGTGTGTGTGTATGTGTCTGTCTGTCTGTCTCTGTCTGTCTCTCTCTCTATATATATATATAATTTGAAAATCATACACAATTATCATGATAATTGTACAACACAGAAAGATTTTTAATGTACAGATGAGTAGTACTGGGGCGTCAAATTTAAAGCTTTTGTGCCTTGGGCAAAGCACAGGGGTCAGATGCACTATTTATAGACAAATTGCTTCCATTCTCTACCAGATGGCAAGCAGTCTTTAAGTCAAAGCAAACAAGAGTTGTTTTTCACTCAGGATTAACATAAATGTTGCTCTTAGCTGTAATATTTGTTGTCATGCCCAACTGCTATATGTAGATCCTATTATTATTATTATTATTATTATTAATTTGTATCCCAATTACTCCTGATAATGGGACTCAAAACAGCATATTTAAAATAATAAAAATTAAAAACAATACAAAGGCATTAAAATATAAATCTAAGTTTTAAAAAGAAATTGAAGAATTCACGGAGTTTAAACATTAAAAGTGTTCAAACTAAAAAACACACACAAAAAACATATTTCTACAGCAAAACAAACATGTTAAGACTAAAATAATAATATAATGTCTTCTATACTGAAATAAAATGAGCCATTAATTAATTTATTTAAATTATCTTACCTTTTCACATCATCATCTGTTCTTAAATGAGCTACAATAATGGTAAGATGTATAGTTTGGACTGGAATTAACGCTTTGAACAGGTTAGGCTCTTTAATGAATATAAGCTCTTGGACATCTTCAATTTTATCTAAAATCTGAGATAAAGATAGATTTTTCAAAGTTAATACATTCATTTCAATAGTTTAATAATAGTTTCTTATTTAGCTTCTTGATAATTCCATAAACTTTTTAGCTTCTTGGCAGTACAATGAATAGATGTCTACTTGGACATCCAATTGAGTTTAATGTGTCATATCTAGGTATATAGACACTGGACTGCCCCTAAGACTCTTTCAACAGTGCTCAATAAGTGTTTGATCAGGCCTCCAGAAACAGAAAGATCACATTGCTTGACAATGATCCAATAACAGCATGATGTTGGATGAAAGCCTTTGTGCTCATGGAAATAAGCCACACTGGGGGGCAGGCATATATATTAGTGTTGGATAAAGAAAAAAGAAGTTATGTGCAACTTCAAACTTCACATCTGTGTTTTGTAATTCTGAAAGGATGCTGAAAACATCTACAGCTCAGTTTGAAATCCAGCATTGCAGTCTGATGCTTTCTTTAATTTTTAATATATCATCTATATTTTGAAGAACTAGCAGCTAGATGTGCCGGTTCAGAATCTCAGTTTCACTCTGAGTGCAAAACTGAGAAGTGAGCAAGTATTAATGTGATCTATATACAGTTGTCAATTGTTAATAGACTGAAAATGGAATCATATTTCCATAATTAATCTTGTGCTACTTTCTGATTACAAGAGAAAATTGATGCCTTTTCCCAAGTGAGAAACTGTAATTGCAAATAAATCCATTCAGATGACTAAATTTGCCATTCTTAAAGACATTGCTTTCATTGAGCTATATAGCCCATTTTTTTAGCCTTTTGGAGTTGAAAAGTTGCAGAGAAAAATTATTCCTTTTGAAAGTATCTTCAATTGTGCATTTAGGATTAAGATGAATAAATTTAAACAGAACATCCCAGCGGACAGGAGCTTTAACATACAGCAGAAATAAATTGTAACGGGGGTATGGCGGGGGGAGGTGTTCACTAACAGAGCCAAGCATATTGAAGAACCAAAAGTAGCCTTTTGGTTCTTCAATATACTTTCTATACTTTAAAAGTATACTTTTAAATACTTTCTGTACTTTAAAAAAACATACTTATCTCCCACTCAGGGTTACTCAAGTTGACCAAAAATGCTATTATGAATTTGTATTTACAAAGGATGTTAGATTTAAAAGCTTTAAATGATGGATTAATCAACTACCATTTTATTAATCAACAAGTGCAACTTTTTAACTGATGGAGCTGTGTATTAAAGGTGACCTTGTTTATACCTGAGAGAATTTTCGATTCTGATACATTCCTCTAATATGGAATGAAAAATAATATATTAAATTGGCCTTTCTTTCCCGTAACAAGCAACTTTGTTGGCTGCTTACCTGGGAGTTAATCCCACTGAATATTATTGAGTTTACTTCTGGCTGTAATGGTTTGAGCATTGGACTATGACTCTGAAGATTAGGGTTCAAATCCCTACAAGGCCATGGAAGCCCACTGGATGACCATGGGCAAGTCATATTCTCTCAGCCTCATAGGAAGGCAAAAGCAAACACCCTCTGAACAAATCTTGCCAAGAAAATCCTGTTAGAGTTGCCATAAGTTGAAAATGAATTGAAGTCACAGAACAACAAGATATGCCTAGCCTTGCACTGTAAATTATGTTTCCTTATATTTTGTCAAAGATCTCAAAAAGCCATATATTTTGAGAACGTGGTCATTGGTAGAATTATAAAATTCTATGGATTAATTTGATAAACCTGGTAAAAATTGTGTGAAAATTCTTTAAATCTATAGAGAATCTTAATTATTTCATATCAACTTCTGTTTGTTCCTTTTTTAATAAAAAAACCCGTATGCCTGAAAGAATTAATTGATGCCTAACCTTTAACTATTTTGTAAAATTGCACAGGGATAGATATGGTACTTGGATCGCAGTTATGATTCATACAGCCTTAGCTGCTTTGATAATAACATAAAACGTTCATGAATAGTATTTTCATGCATAGAATTTCTGTCTCCCTCTCTACAGGGAATGTTGCAACTTCCAAAGCAAGGTAACTTCTCCAGTTTTGCTTTATCCCCTTTTAATCTGCCATCATTCATGGTTCCTTGTCATCCAGCATACTTCATTTGAAAGAGGCAAAATGGAGCACCACATTGAGAAAAGTACCCCAGAGAATCCATATTCCTCTGGAAGAAATCAATAAATAACTTGCTGTCTGCAAACCACTTCCAATGGAGCAGTTCTGCAGCATTGTTAATGGGACATCAGGGAGCCCATTCTAAGTGAATTACAAGTTTTGCAATGTTTTTCTTCTTTTTTCCAATTTCAAGAATAAGAAAGGAAGACCCAAACTGAAATTATATCTGCTTAAATTTCAGGGATGAGTATTTCCAGTGGCATTTATAATATATTTAACTTATTCATAAAACATATATTTAAAATTATAAATGTTCCTAAACCGCATATTCATATAATTAAAAAACATTCCCTCTCACATCTCAATGTGGTGGTATAGCACAAAATAAATAGATTTTATTCAGTTTCTCCATTTCCACCATAAAGATTTTTTAAATGTTCAAAAACCAGAGAATTAAAATAAACAAATAAAAAAACTGTTGATTATGTATGATATGAAAAGATCATTCCTTTGACATATGATTTTTAAAATAGATCTTTCTAGTGTTTTCTAAAGATTTATAAATTATATGGTAAGATTCCACAACATTGTTTCTATATTTAATAAAAATAAAAATTGTATTGAGGCATCATTGTAAATCATAGGAAGTGAATAATTGGCACATTTTCAAAAAAGAAAAGGAAGTATAAATCCTTCATAGTATGATTATTTTTGCTTAAAATATGAAGGATTCTAGGACTGCAGCTCCTCAAATCCCTTAGTCCTCATGGCTATTTTGGAAGCTGTAGTTCCAAAAGTAACTTTCCCAGTCTCTGCACCTATTTACATACTAGGGAAGAGCCATAGTTCAGTGGCAGAATATATGCAGCAGGTTCCAGGTTAATTCTATGGCCTCTCTAAGCAGATCTGGTGAAATCCTTCAGGGTCTCTTTCCTGACAATTATCAGGCATCACCACCATCTTGTGTAGATGATAATGGGATAGATTGGAGGTGCCCAACTTTGGAGGTAAGGCCAAATTTCCACCCGCAGCACTTGACACAGTCTGCAACAGGCCCAGAAACATGTTTACAAATGGGAAAAAAAAATCAAAACCAGAAGTCACCATGTCCATGTCTGGTTTTGATGTTTTGCTGTACCTCCACGAAATTCTTTAAATCCTAAAGAAGGACGTCCAGAGATGAAAAACCCAATCTAGGGTAGGAAATAAAAGGACACCGGGGAGGCACCACACACACACACACACAAAGAAAAGTATTTGGGGAATTATATAGGTGATCTTGGGCAAGTCACACTCAGACAGAGGATGGCAATGGCAAACTCCCTCTGAAGAAACTTGCCAAGAAAAGCCTATGATAGGTTCGTCTTAAGGTTCTATAAGACAAAAATGACTTGGAGACACACAACAACAAAACAGTAGGTGGCTGGCAGGCTGGCTACACCTTGCTCATCCACCAGCTAGATGAACTAATAGTATGACTGAACATAAGGCAGTTTTTTTATATTCCTGTTTCCATATAACTAGCTTTGTTTATGTACTGCCGCATAACTATACAAAACAGGGGGAAAGAGTGTTTTGGTACCTTAAGAAAGTAAGAAATTTGTTATGGCACAAGCTTCCATGGACTGGAGTCCACTTGATCAATTTTAAGTAGGCAAAATAGATGTAGTAATAGCAGTGACAGATAACAAGTATCTGCCAACTTAAGATATACTGCATTATGATGAAATGACGTCCAGTCCATGAAAATTTAAGCCAAAATGGATACAAAAGGTTTTATTGTCTGTGTTACCATCAGTTATTTTAATTAACCGATACATGTCTCTGTTAACAACTTTACGCAGTAAAGGGGAAAGACTATAAAAACTATGCATGGAGAATATTTTCCAAGTAATAATAATCAATGTCTTGCATAAATTGGAATGGGAGAACAATAATAAATGCCTAATAATATAGACCTTTTATTACATCAAATGTTGGCAATCTAGACTTCCTAAAAGTAGACTGCAACAAAAAATTTCTGGGAGACAAAACAGTAGAAACTTACACATTACAAGGGAAAGTGGACAAAGTCATGAATTTTAGAAAATACTGTCTATTGCAGCTTTTGTTTTCCACCTTATGGGTGATCAAATCCAGCCACACATTACTGATAATGAAGGACATTCATCTTCCTAACTCCAAACTAAGCTGTAATCAGAAAAAGGAGGCTGTTTTATTATATTTTTTTTAACATTCATATCACAAGGCTCTATTATTAACTTAGATTCCACCCACCTGCTCACTTGTTATTGGGATTGCAACAAAATAATTAGGCACATCCTTTCTGTACTTCTTGGATCCTGCTTGTTCCTCATGAATCTTCTCTTCAGCTATTACCATATGCACTCTTCTGTCTGAACTTGGTTGTTGCTGATCAGTGGCATTCTCATCAGCACTTCCCTTTCCTTGCTGCAGAATGGTGATAGTTTCTTTCAAGTCTTCCTCACTTGAACTTGATAAATGTATATGTAACATTTTGGTTGGTTCTACATCTTTACTGTCATTATGCAATTTCTTTCGAAATGCCACCACCTCTAGTCTATTTTCTTCTTGACTAGTTTTAGCTGCCCTATGTTTGGGTCCCAGCTACCCTGTTGTAGCAAACTCTCCTTCACCGCTGAATCATTTGCATCTTCATGAAGATGCTTTGATTCTATCACGTTTGACTCTCCCCAGTCTTGTTGCTGCTGCTCCACTTGAGTATCTATGATGCCTTCCTTGACATGGGACAGTGAATGAACTTGCTTCCCCTAAAGATTATACTCATGCCTGTTGGAGAGTTGACAATGAACATTGTTATGTGAAACTTCTTCTTGACTCTTTGTCTGTACCTCAACAGTGACACGTGGACCTGATATCTCCTTTCCTACAGTCTGATGTTGCACCTTTATAAATGTATATGATAGCTCTTCAGCTTTCTTCCACTCTTCCCACCCCAACCTAAATAATAGTAATAATTTGTAAAGTTGAATTTGTAAATATAAATTAGCATATTCTAATGGGTCTTCTTTTTTGGTGAAGCTTTTCCTCTTTTTGATAATACAGAAATGGCTATCCTACAGAGATGGAAAAGATAATGTTAAAAGAAAAAGAACATGTAACATCAAAGATCTACAAAATTTTACTAAAATTGGATATGGAAAAAGAACAAGTGAAAAACTACACAACGAGATAGGCTGAGGATTTAGGAGATGAGATACATATGGAGGAATGGGAGAGAATATGGAGTATAAGGTTCAAATATACCCTCAATTATGATATGAGAGAGAATTTTTATAAAATGTTGTACAGAAAGTACATGACACCAGATATATTAGCAAAAATAAAGAATGAAATGAATAACAGATGTTAGAAATGTAAAGAGGAGAGAGATACGTTCCTCCATATGTGGTGGAAATATAAGAAGGCAAAAGATTACTGGTCCCAAGTTCATATCATAAAAGTGAGAATAATAGGAGTTAAAATGAAAAAAGATCAAAATTATATGTTAGGAATTGTAGATGAAGAAACATGGAAGGAAACTTTTTTATATGATAGTTGCTGAGATGATAGTTTACACTAGGAAATGGAAAGCAGAGTAAAATCCACAGGTAATGAATTGGATATGAAAAGTGCTGGACTATGTAGAAACTGATAAATTAACCAACTTGTTAAAAATCAAATCAAATGAGAAACATGAGAGAGAATGGAAAGAGGTGAAAGAGTCCTTGAAAATGATATTAAACAAAATGACAGGGAAGAATGAACCTACTGTATAAAAGATTATTGATAATGATGAGAGGAATTTGTAAACATCAGAGTAGAATAGTAAAATGAGATGAAGATACAAAGATAGAATATATTCACAAAGGAAGAAGGGCCATGGACAAGTAAGGTTATAGGTGAAGGGTAGAGGTTTCTGAAAGTCTTTTTTTTTTAAATGTTCTGTAAGAATTGCTGTGTTATCGGAAGACCAACATAGAGATATAATCAAGTATATAATTCTGTTTGTGTGTTTTGAGTGTTGTTGAATATATTTGATGTGTTTTGATTAAATGTGGTTGATAATGTCTAATAAAGATTAATAAAATAAAAGAAATGGCTACCCTATTCACAATTTGTCTCCCTATCACAAACATTTTGGTACTGACAATGGAATAGTATAAGTAGGGAAACATTTTAAGGTATCAGGTAAGCAAAATAGCTGTTCAGATGAAAAAATCAATGAATATTACCAACTCTACAAGAAATACAAGGCAAACATTAATTGTTTTATCCTGCATCTTAAATGGTGGCCCAGTATAAGGTTTCAAGAAACAGGC